GTTTAGTCTTAGCGTCGCTCGCTAAGATATCTATTAATATTACGTAATATCGTTCGGCTATATAACTATACGGTCGAATCTAGACGTCGCTAGTTTTTACTAAGATATCCTACGAGTTTAACTCGTAATATTACTCTTCTCCCCTTATCCGAAGCTATTCTCGTTTAGCGTAGAAGCTTCGTATAACTCTAAAGCGGTTATATTCTTAAGGGCCGAGCGCGGTTTCTATATTAGCTATATATATCTTAACTATTTAACTAGTACTTTAGCTCGAGTGCCTCGACTACGACGTATCGTACGTTCGTCTAGGATTCTCTCGACGCCGAACTTATCCTCTTTATTTACGCGAATTAGTTCCGGTTACTCGTCGTCTCGTATTTACGACTCTAGAGGATTCGTCGCGGTCGTACGTAGAAGGTCGGCGTAGAAGACGTTATAGATATTCGATAGAGTATCTAGCCGATAGCTATAAGTATCGATAAATTCTAATACTATATACTTAGTATTCTTCTAGTCTAGTTTCTTTAACTATCGGGTCGTACGTATATTTTAGAAATTAAGCTAGACTTTATCGCTAACTCGAAACTATACCGCTTATTACCTCGTACGATTTATAGCTTCTTCTTACTTCTACTAGATAACTACTATTAATATTTAGGCCTATTTCCTCGCCTTCTATAGTCATTATACGATTTCTTCTCCTTATTCGATAGGGTTCCTAGGAGTAGTAATTAGTCGTATAACGTCCGTTAGCTAAATCGTCTTAATATAGTATCCGTAACTAAGGAAGAAGAGACTTACTCTCGTTAACTAAGCGTCGCGGTTATTAATTACTAGCTCGGCTATTAGGAGTACTTCTACCTAATTATTCTATACTCTTCTAATATATATACGTAGATACGTCTCGACTATTTAGTTTATACGTTCCGTTAATTCGTCTATCTATAGGTAAAAAGCTATCGATAACCGTCGTATAATATCTAATAGTTTATAAAATCGTATCTAAAGGACTTCTATAAACTAGGAGCCTCGATTCGTAACGATCGCCGCTAGTAGATCGTATTACCGATAGAACGTACGAAGGAATACTCTTACTACGTCCTCTACCTTAATTAAGCGTATTCCTTCGAGAATTACTTCCTTCCCTAGTCGATTCGTAATTACTAGAAAGTTCGTATACTCCTTACTTTTAGGAAGTCTAGTAATAAAGTCTATCGATATTTCGCGCTATACTCGATCTAGTATAAAGAGTAGCTTAAGAAACTCGACCTTTCTCTTTCGCTATATCTTTATTCGTTTATAGATATCGTAGTTCTATATAAATCTTCGAATATCTTATAA